AAACACACAATCCATGTCTTAAGTATTGTGGGCAGGTCAATTAGCAATGTACTTCTGCATGATCCCTGGAGGCCCTCCAGTGCGCGCTCATCGATTAACGGCGGAAGAGCACAGCGCACCTCACGCTAACTGCATTCTCTCGGAACGATATGTATGTTGTAAGGATCCCACGAAAAACCCAAGGCCACAATAACGCTGAGCGTTTGCAGCTTCAGCCCAGTGTAAGGCAGTTCAGCCATAAGCCAATCCAGGCTAACAGGGATAAGGAATGTAAAATCTGCTAATGCCCTGGCAGTTTGTAGCAAGGGAATACTCAGGATAAGCTTGAGGGCTCCAACGCTCCGCGGCGATGGCGCACGAGGAATTGGAAGTAATAGAGTTACCAATGCATTCCTAATACCGTGCCATTACCTTGCGAAATTATGACGAAAGAACATGTTGGGAGCGTTGGGCGGCGACTCCAGCCCATGCTCAGTGTTGCCGGTACGGGCAATCAGACGAATCACTTTCGAACAGTCAGCTTCAACTTAATATATCTCTTCAGGAAACAGCCACTGAAGACGGCAGCATGCTGTTGCCTATATCACTGCTGTCCATACTCACATATCATACTTTAGCCGCTTTAGGTGTTAAAACAGTATTAAAGGGAGAACATATGAAGCTGCAATCACTTTGTATGCACCTATACCAACCGCCTTGCGGCCGCGACCTCGGAAGCTGTGTACGCATGACAGAGCTGTACGGCTAAGCAAATTTTCGGGTTCAATTTGTCCTGGGCAAGAGTTTTCATGACAGTTAACAAGGACTATGTATGAAAAATAAAAATACCTATCGCCTTGGAATCAAGGAAGCATAAGGGAACGCAGTTAATAATCCAGCTCATGCACGGTGCATTACGAACCTACCTGTGAGATTCCCTTACATCTAAAAACTTGATTTCTTTTGTGCGTAAGATACACTGCTAACGCTCCTTATGGAAGCTTCAAGGGATATCGGTGTGTAGTGATTAGAAACCGTTATTTGTCGAGGTTACAATGCGTATCGTCATAATCTAGAATTAATATTTCCTGGGATTTCTTTTGCCTGACTTTCATAGCTGTGATGTGCCAAGTCTTGAACCCAACTTGCGCCCGCCTGCTTACAAAGATGCATGGATGGTATCCAGAAGTGCAAAGTAGTCCCTAGCAGGCCTCAAGACGTTATAGGCTTTCATGCAAAAGACCTCTAAAACATATCCATTAAGGCCATATCAGATTTGGAGCCTGTAGCACCCGCTCATGCCTTTTTCCCCTTTCGCCGACGTGCTGTGAGTGCCGTGGGCGCGGCGGAATGTGAGCTTCAAGCTTTCATGTATCAGCCTGGAATTACATATTTATAATCACTTCAGGCGTGCGGTTAAGTTTCCCGTCGATAAGTCCCAATAAGCCTTTGCCAATTACGTGAGACCCAACGGATCTCTCAATGGGTAGCGACCTCTTAAGTCTTTCAAATGCCAACCGCTAACCCCATCCCCACTCGATTCACGCTGCCCATAAAACGGAGGGCCCTTGCACCCCTGCTGTCCATTGTGAAGACGTTCTAATGCAGACTAACCTGTAGTAGCCTTCCCTTAAGAAAGCCGGCAGGGTGAGTTCCCAACAGCAGTGCATTCTGGTACTCGGTGTGGATAATAAGTCAAGGGGTTCTGGCGCCATGCCCCCAACATCCAGCCCCACAAACACCCACCACAGCGCCATGCCCCCAACATCCAGCCCCGCGAGCCCCACGGCGGCACTCGTTCCCCGTCACAAATCACCGCCATCGGCGCGTTATGCACCCCCGTGCAATACCCGGCATCGCATAACCGAGCAGAAATGCTTGATGGCAAATTGCGCTGATGGATGGAGCCACAGTGGCGGGAGGAGTGCGGGATGGGAGCCTAGCGAAGGGAAGAACGGTGTACTAGCTGGCCGCTGAAAAGGCCTCTATAAATGCTGACGGAGCATCTTAGCGCTATTTATCAATGCTATGTGCGCCGTAATAATAATAATAATAATAGTACGCCGGCCGGGGCCTGGCGTGTGTTAAGGGGGTGGGGAACTGAGGGGCGGCGTAGCCGCTCCTGTATGCCCACACCACCGTGGGAAACCGTTCGGGTTGTACCGGTTATTTGACTGTACCCTCCAGTACTCGCCGCGCCCGGATAATCGTGCCCGCTGCTTCGATTGTTTGCCGGTGGAGGTGCAGGCAGGTCTTCTGGGCCTGCTCAGTGGACGAGCCGAGTCTGCACAGTAGCGGTTTTAGTGTGTTGGTTAGTGTCCCAGTACTTCCCAGGGTGACAATTTGCGCCTCGGTGTAGTGCACCGTCCAGCCTGCTTTCGTGAGTTCCTCTGTTAGCCGTGCATGCTGTGCGGTTTTCTGTTCGAGTTTGTCGGAGTGCTGCAGGTCTATGTGCGCCGTACTATGTACAGCTATCACACGTGGCTTAGGGGAAGGCTGTACCTAGGTAGGTATTTGCGGGATGTGGACACACCCAGGAATGAGGCTTCAGGGAATCAAGCGGCTTACTGTTTCGCTGGGTCACCTGACGACGGAGCCGGTGTTAGGTAAGTGCTCTCCTGGCCGGCTGAATGTCGCCTGTGTTTTAATGACCTGAGCCGCAATGAGGAAAATTCCGATGGTAGTACACGAATAACTTTACGATACCGAGCTCCGTAATTGTAGTAAGCTACATTTCCACTAGCATATTTCAACGATTACTGTTAACAACAACTGTAAATTCGTTAACGATTCGACTCGAGTTTCGTACATGTTACGAGTATCGCCACATGTCTCGAACATGGCGGTTGTTCGTAACAAACCTAAGGGACTGGGGCCCCGGGCCCTACCGACATTATCCTAGTACGGCAGGACCGTGGTAGGGAATCTCCGGCAGGTAGGCCGAGATATAAGCTACCCGGGCGGGGTGCTCTGGCCAGACATTGAAGTATCACGACTACTAGGTGTTCGGGGTTCAAGACTCCGCTGCCGCCGTCTCAGATTATTTCGTACGCGTCTATGCAGGCTAGTGCTTGTCGCTGGGTTGGACTTCTTCCTGCCTCGGCGAGGACTGTCAACTCTACGCTTCCGCAAAGCCAGTCGACCCGTCAGGTGAGCGACTGCTACAGGCAGCCAGCGACGTGTTACGTAATACAAAACAGGCGGCCCCGTGTTACCACGAGGTGATGAGGATGCACTCGGTCAAAGTACTTTCAATATTGAAGGCGTCAGGCCGGATTGTCACATGAATGGCATGGTAAGCATTACTCCATGTTAGAATATGAAAAAAGAGACGAGAACCGCCGAACGCGGTTTCTTGGAAAAGCAAGACACATGCATAACTCCGTTCCCACTGCTCACAGTGGCACCGGCACTTACTAGTACCTTACACTCGCTCCAAGATCCTATCCGCAAGATGAAGTGAACATATGTACATAGCCATCCCATGGCTTTACACGCTTTGCTAGTGACGTCCGCAGACGTCATCCTAGTTTTGAAGGAACACATGATAACACCCAAAACGAAAGTACATAAAAACATCAGACAGCGGCGGCGGTTTCCCCTGCTGCATATGCATGACGCTCTGCTGGCCACTAAGAATGTCGTAATAAATGCAGAGCAGAGGGCACGATTAAGTTAATACAACGTCCGCCAGTTATACGCACAACCGTCAGGTCTTCCAAAGCGAGTTCGAATCAGTCGTTGCATGTTACCAGGTACTGTTCCGACCAAAAGCCATGCGACGTACGAAAAATTAATGTTATTGGCGATAACAACATTGAGCAAATGCACGCCGGCCAAAGCCCCACTTCTGCATGTTTCTGCACGTTGCGGCTGGCGTGTGTTGATGATGATAAGGTGTTGGGCCCACGGGGGTCACGGGAGTTAGGTAGGGTAATTGACTCTCCTACCCGCCCCGGGATGCATGCATAAAGAAACAAAGAACGTCTTATACAAGACGCAGAACAGAAAGCCACGGAAAAACACTAGATAGATGTAAGCAAATGGTAGTATATGGCGCTTACGCCGAGAAAATTAGCCGTGCCCATACGTACTCCCCTGCAGCCACGCGCCGCCTAATATCCTACTATAAAGCTAGGAAATTAATTAGAAAATGCTATGGGAACGATTGTCCCTCCTAGATTAGGTGCCCATTACTAGCTCTTACGCTTACCCTTGACATGCGAGTATACATTGCCTGCTGCTGTGCACATCAATCTCTCCCTAGGTCGTCGGTAAAGGCTCGACGTTGTGGTGTGGCTTGCTTGTCAACCCGTGCATGGACGAAACACAACAGGTGTGATCACCGTCATACTTTACACGACTGGATGCAAGCGCTCAGACGTGTATTGAGAATGTTTGCGGTAGCATTAAATATGTACATGCATGGCGCGCGGCCATGCTGTCGGTTGTTTACCGACCGCGTCCCTCGACTGCAGCAGCAGTTATCTATCATCTGTGCTAGAGAATTGGACGGCATAGCTAACTCCCCCCCTCCAGCGCACTTCTCGACATCTGGCATCCAGCTCACTTCGCGTCACCTGGCATCCAGCTCACTTCACGTCACCTAGCATCCAGATGACTTGCTTTTTGGGGATCCAGCTGCCTAGCTATGTGATGTATCCGTCGTATCAACCATGCGGCTACATTTCGACCCAACTCCGCTGGTCATTGGCTGGCCTGAGCACTACTGGCATGTATGCAGCAGCAGCAGTAGTGTTGTATGTGCATATTAGAAAACATGCCAACGAACCTGCTGCACAATCAACCAACCAGCGAAAGACAAGCAACAATTGTGTTGTTATGTTCACATGCAACCAATGGAGACCTCCAACGGAGACTGTGTACTCTGATGATGCACACGGTAAGCAAACTGCAAGGTATACATGCAAGAGTATGCATGCATGCATGTATTCCTCCGTCTCCTATCCCATTACTGACATCACACGGACCACTTTTTCATCATAATTAAATATTTGCTGCTAAAGGCAAACGTACTTCCGCACGTGCTCAACCAGCTTACTATATTCAACATCAATTGCTAGCTTGGCAGCATAAATGCCATCACCTTGTTGCGCAGTGTTTAATACCACGGTTGAGTTAGCGATGTCTAGGCTGGGTTTTTGGCAGGAAAAGAGGGTTTGGTTGCTGGTGCTGTTCCCTGCTTGCGCGCCTATGGTAGTATTAGCTAATAATACTGAGGCATCGGTCACATTTGCGCTCCTGTTGACGCGAACAATATCTGCACTGTTGACCATGATAGCGCCACCATAGACCCCCGCTGTGTTCCCGGACCAGTAGCTTCCGTTTCCAACCATGAGCTGGCCACCGCATGTTGTAGCACTATACGCCCCACCTCCTTGCAGGTTAGCAGTGTTGTTGGTGATACTGCAGCTACTGACCCGCATAATGCAACCATCGGTGGCGTTCAAGTATATCCCACCACCTAGTGCCGCACTGTTGAGGCTGACTTCACTCTGCTCCAGAAGGGTTAGGACGTTCTGACCAGCTGCAGCTAGATAAATGCCTCCCCCACTCAGCAAAACCTGATTCTCTGTGAACCGGCATTGCTGGAAATGCACAATTGCTGTAACCGGAGTAAATGCTGGAATGTTGTTAATGGGTGGGGGTGGCGGGGGTGGACGTGGTGGGCGTGGTGGCGCCGGTGCTGGTGAAGGTGGTCTTGGGGAAGGTGGTGGTGATGGTGAAGTATTCAAATTGCTGCTGGATGCGGATGCAACTACATAATCCAGCGCAGCTCCACCACCATAGTTGGCAGTATTATCATGCAGAATACAGCCCCATGCCAGCAAGGACGATCCCTTCACACCTGAATTGAAAAGTCCACCACCACGAGTGGCAGAGTTGCCCTTAAAAGTGTCATTGAACAGGACTACAGCCGCCCTGCTCCTGGTGAGCTGCACTGCCAGGCCCCCGCCAACAGTGCCAGCTTCATTGTCCTCAAAGGTCGTGTTGCGAAGGACAGCTGTGACCTGTGCGAAGGTGCTAGCTCCGATCAGCATAGCCCCGCCACCCTGCACCTGAGCCGCGTTATCAGCTAGGGTGCAGTCCAGAATGACAGCTGCTGTCTTATTGGCTTCAAGGAACACACCGCCGCCATTTCTTGCGGAGTTTTGTGTAAACGCCGTACGCTGTACGACCACCCAAGGCTGTCTTGGCAGCTTTGTCATATCTATGTTCTGCCGTGCTTCCAGGGAGGGCAGCTGAGCTTGCACCGTCACAGTCACTCCAGGGAACGTGATGCAGCCACGCGATACATTCTTAGGTTGACCCAGGGCAACAGGCGGAGGAGGCCTTGAAATCTGGGGTGGACGATTCAATGGCGGTGAAGCACGTGAAGGTGAACTCGGATTGCTGTTGTTGCTGCTGCTGCTGTCCTTCGTAGTTGGAACATAGCTGGGCTGCGATACGTATGCAGGGATTGCATAATCCATGAAGGCAAAGCCACCACCATCCAGATCAGCACCATTGTTGTTAAAATTGCTGTTAATGATCTTTGCAGCGCAGTGGGCAAGAAGAAAGCCTCCACCATAGCCACCTTTTGCCATGTTATCCCGGATAGAAACCCCCTCCAAGCGCACACCACATGCTTGGCTGCCTTCAGGCCAGCAAGTCATATTACTGAAAGCCTGGATGCCAGGGACCAAATCAGCTTCCGTCGTGTCACAACCTGAGGATTTGTCATACATTATGTAACCTGTTTGGTTGGTAAGCAGCTTCTTTTCGCTAGGGCTGTCCTCCAAAAGGAAGGGCTCCGCCCAAATGAAGAGGGCTCCACCATTGCCTCGAAGTGGGCTGACGTCCTGGATGTACAAGAGCCTTGTTGAATCATCACCAGCAGTATTCGTGTGGAAGGTGGTGTTTGTGATGTTGATACGGGCCCCCATGAAGACGGAGGCCATCCGCTGCTGAGTCGATAACACTGGTGTCAGGGAGAGGAAGGCCAGGGCCCCACCAGCACCGTAGTGAGCCCAGTTACTATCCCAAGTGGAATCAGCAATCTTCAGGTAGAGCACTCGATCCTTCTGGAGTTGTAGCCGTTTCATGTCATCCGGTACAGTACGTATCCAGTGCCGAAGGTTGATTGAGATGGCCCCACCATCCTTGAGAGCACTGTTTTCAGAAATGCTGGACCGTGCAATGTTCAGATAGTATGGCCCATCATCCGGAAGTTTCTGCGATGTATCGCTGTTGCTGATGCCCGACGAATATCCTGAGACCTGGCCTTCACTGCCGGGTACAACCTGCGCAGCATGGTTGGGTTCGGAACAATATGTGATTGGATCCAAGCCATAAGGAAATGCATATGCCATGGTGGATGGTGCTATAAGGTGATAAATGATCTAGAACTGACAATGTGATAAAGCGGCCCAGAAGCCTCCCACTCTGTAACATTACAAAATATGCCATATGCGTCAGTATATGACAATACCCACCATTAAGTGCATGAAGCCACCTTCTCCAAACATGGCAGAGTTATTGAAGAGATTGCTGTCACTGATGGACAAGTTTTTAGGCATTGCTGTCAGGTGAATGGCCCCGCCAGTGACAAGCGCCTGGTTATGGGAGATACTGCTGTTGGATATGATGATTTCACCAGCGGGCCCCTCCATGAAGATTGCGCCACCGGATATACCGGCCAGGTTACCGTCCATCCGGCTGCCGCCACACAATTCAAACCTCTGAAGCGGCAAAAGCTTCGTTCCATTGGCATCATCATCGACCAGCTGAACATTAGGAATGTAGATGGCACCGCCATTGCCACCCTGGTTATCACTCACACTGCTGCCATGGCAGATTCGGAAACTCTCCAACCCCTTCCCAGCATAGACAGCACCTCCAAAGCCACTTCCACTCTGTACTTTGTTGCTGCACATACACGAGCGGTCTGTAACTGTGAAGTTCACAACTCGGGTGTTCCGAAAGTACATGGCTCCATAAAGAGATGATCGGTATTGCCCAGCTGTATTATTGCAGATGCAGCTGTTGTTAGAAACCTCAAGCAACTCCATGACATGTTTGACATCGGCCAGCTCCTCCTCTGCTGACATCCCCGAAACAATGGCGCTGCCCCCATTCCATGCTTTGTTCCAAGACACACGGCTGCCTCCTGTTAGAACCAGCTTTCGCAACAAGCCACCGATCCAGACACCACCGCCCTGGGATCCTTTCTCATAGGTAATGTCGCCAGCCGCCATGTTGCCGGAAATGCTGCTGCTGTTCTGGATTGTCAAGCTTGAACAGCTGCCATACACTGCAATAGCACCACCACCCTCTGCAATCGGTCCTGTGACACTGTTGTTATTGGCTTGGCTGCCTCCTTCAATGGTGATGCCATCGATGACGTCTTGCTCTACAAACACAGCGCCACCTTGGTATAAAGCCACATTATAGCTTATAGAGCTGCTGTCTGAAACAAGAAGGCGGCTGATGTTGCCTGATGATGCCTGTAAGCCTTCAGCAGAACAACTGCCTATATACACGGCACCTCCTCGCAACTCTTCCTGGGCGCCATCACTCACACCAACCGTGTTGTTGTTCAGGCTGCTACCCTGAGCCACCTGGAAACTTGCAACATTTGCCAGTATACCGAAGGCGCCACCGCATTTTGCTGCCATATTCCCATCCACATGGGAGCTGCCATGGACTGTGATATTTAGAGGGGTATCTGCTTGGCCGGCATTCTGAACGAGCACTGCACCACCACCACCAGACGTGGCTTGGTTCCCAGATACAGTGCTGCCAGACAGAATGGAGACCTGTTGAATATACGAGAGGACAAAGAAAGCTCCACCGCTTTCAGCGGCTGTGTTGTCGGACACACTACTGCTGCCCTCAACTGTTAGGTTGCCAATCTCGTTGGCTAGGTGCACTGCACCACCAGAGCCCCCAGGGCCATTAGCACTGTTGCCATCGACTTTACTACCTTGTGTAATGTGCAGTACCTCCAAATGGCTAAACACGTTCATGAAAACGGCCCCGCCATGCTTCGTGGCCGTGTTCATCTCCAAGCTGCTCCGGGAGATGTTGAGTACACCCTGTCAGCAGAAAAAAATTTCAAGAATTTAGTGTTAGACGTAAGAAGTGGCAATCGCTTAAAGCTCAGGCGGTGAGTGGCAGGATCGTGCTTCAAACACGCCCGCTAGTGGCCCCCCTTTGGCCTAAACGCGTTTGATGGCTAAATAATGGATGGTGGAACTTGGTGATGAAGTTATGAGCCTGTTGCGGGTTCACCAGCTCCACCCGCTTTATGTCTAAGCAGTTCGAAACGGGACACACACAGGCTATCATGAAGGCCTGTCCCTGGTACACCATGGTCTTGGTGTTCGGGTTTGGTATGTTCGTATACCCGAACACCAAGACAGACTTCGCCCATACGATCGCGACAACCAATCCATAAAGAAGCTACAATCCACCCCAGGTAGCCTGAGACCCGCTTGGTTGAGGTGGTGAACAGGCAATACAGCTACGTATGGCAGTCAAGGAAATCTCACCACATGCATATAGTCCGCTGGGCCTCCGTTGCTATCGGCAAAAAAAGCAAGGCCAGATCCAAAGCCACCCTTGTTGCCGGATATAACAGTGTCAAACAGGTCAACACTGTTCAAGGAAGAACCGCCTGGGTACGGGGTGTACACCACGACCGCGCCAAAGCCGAGCAGGTCCGAACTTGACCAGGCGATGCAGTCGCCGGCCGTAACTGAGTTGTTCACGAACACTGAGTTGCTGATCCGGATTATCCGATCCAGCTGGGCTCCGTCCTCCTCACTGCTGATGTCCGTGTTGCCTGCTGGTGGTGACGCGCCATTATCCGCATCTCTCTGCATGTTTAACAAAAGGCCCAGCCAGATGCATGCAAAGTCCGTGGCACCTTGGACATTGGTGCAGGTCAATCGGTCCACATATGCCTCCAGCACACCGCCAAACGATAAAGCACCCACGGTACGGCCCCAACAGTAGTCGCCAACCGGCTCGACTGCCGCGCCGTAGAGTTCCTCCATGGTCACATTTGCCACTGTGACGTACTTGCAGCTGGGGCAGCTGATGAGCGGGTCATAGGAAAGGGGTGTGCCTCTAAGGACAGAATTTTCCAGCTGCAGATGCTGAATTTGGTCATTAAACACGATGCTCCAGCCGCTGTCACTCGCTGACTCGAACACTTCAACCCCGCTAACCATCACGACGCCGCTTGGAGAAAAAGGTGGGTTATTGAGCGATGGCGGGCTGGACTGCGTCTCATCACTGTCTGGGGGCGAGCCGTCGTGTTCCATGGGCGTTGTAGGCCGGATGTACTGCAGAAGCCGCGTTCCGACGGTTACGTTTACAGGGACGCCTGGGTTTAGAGTGTTAATGCATTCAAGGCTGACCACTGAGGGCCTCCATGCATCCCGTGTGGCGGGCTCGCCAGTGATCGTGATGTAACAGGCCACGGTGGGCTCGATGGGGAAGGGAAGACTCGCACGCGCGACGGCTGCCCACAGTGTTAGCAAACCTGTGTGGCAGGATCAGCGTCGTGACATTGGCAGGAATAAAGACCAGATCGCTCAGCAGGGCTAAATGACATACGACAGCATTCAACATATACACTAAAGCAATTGAGTAGACATATGTGCATTTGCGAGGCAAGCTGGCGGACGAGATGCAGGGCTACTGGGATCCTTTAAAGTGGATGGCGTATGTGAATGTTCCTTCCAGCCGGCTGCTTGGCGAAAGGTACGAGGTGTGTCGACCGTGCGGTGAGCTGAGCGAGGTGATGACTGATGAAAAGTTGACTAAAGGGACGTTCATCTCTAGAAAACGGAGTTATCCCATATGCTGGTAGGTTTTGGGGCGACGGGAGTAGAACTCGTGATGTTTTGCGTATGCAGTGTTTGATTTGGGTACATCCTCTTGGCCGTTGCTTCGGAAGCAAACGGTTAACCGGACCGACAGAGAGTCAAAACCGGGCTGTGTGGAATTGTAGGCAGCACTTCGGATAAGCAAGACCATAATCCAGCCTGCTACTAATTGCACATACCCCGCATTGAAAGCTCATCTCGGCGAGGGCTTTAGGTTTGCTACGCTACGGGTACCTAGCGACTTCCGCGGCGAGCAGCATGGCAGCTTCACAATACATTCATTTAGTTACTTGAGAAAAGTAACGTGGCTATACACAATGCATTTAATGTATGATTACAAGATACCGATATCCCGTGTTACATCGCAATGGCCTGACTGTAGCGAGCGGACAAACGCGGACATGCCCCCTTGTATTGGAGCAAGATGTATGAAGTGAACGCAACAATTCCAACACCACTGCACAGCCGAAGCTTTGCAGCTCCGCCCAGAGAGGCTGTTTGAGCAAGACGGCCAAATGTATGCAACTGAAGTCTGGTAAGGAAAAACATCTGCTTTGGACTGTACTTTAAAACAAAACGTTGCATTAAAAGCGTGTGCACAGCCCTAATTATAGATCGCTCCAAGGCTCCAGAACGATCTAAGGCAGACGGCCTAAAAATAAAGATAACAGAATTTGCTTTGGAATTTAAGCACTCACCTTGTAGACCGACGATGAACGAACAGGCTGGAAGCATCGGCCGACGACTCCACCCCATCTTCGCCTTTGCCGAAACAGCTGGCGTATAGAACCCTATTAAATAGAAAGTAATTAGGGGCGCATGCCTTGTGGATAAGCCGCTGCACAGGAAAGAGGCATGCTGCTGTCTATATATCACTGCAGCTGTCCATAATCACATAATCAAAACACTCTCAACGCATCGCATGATAAGCACCAAGCTTATAGCATTAAATGCACAACCCTCTCTATGCAGAGATGAAACCGCCTTCCGACCCTGACCTGGATACGTACCGTGACTTACTTGCTGTACGGACGGGTTGTATTTCGTATTCACGCTGCGTTGGACCAGCTTTGTGCAAGTTTTTACATCAAATGTGAGAGCTTATTTGACAGCTCCTTTATCTCAATACGAAAATCGCATTAAGGATGCGACGTGGATTACAACGGAACACTCGGATCACGCACGATTAACTACAAACGTCTTGATGAAGTCTTTTACACGTATATAGTTCTTGCAAGTGGTCTCAAAAATACCAGGATGATAAGTCCTGTTCAAGGGCTATCAGTACGACATTTGAGAGCTGCGGCCAAAAATCACTTAGTCATGGTCGAGAACTCGCGCCTGTTCATATCATGCTTCACTTTTGCATGCTTGCACTGAAGTCGTAACGATAAGCCAGAACAAAGCGTGCGCCCGCCAGTGCCGTAAGTGTCTGTTTAGTGTCACTGTAAGTCGCCAAAAGGGGTGCGCTAGGCAGCTACATCAGATCATGAAGCACTGCCGGGTTTTATGCAGACATCTCTGTAAGGATGGCCTTTGAGCCGAAGCAACTTGACGCCTGTAGCACCCGTTACCGCTTCTGCCACAACTGCCTGAACGTTGCGCACGCGCTTCATCCCCTACCCACACAATTGGCCGCATGGACAAGTCCCCTGGGCTCCCGGGGGAAATCCCTTCAGCTTCCCACCGATGAGTCAGTGGCTAGCGTACAGCGACAAATAAATCTTAGCATTCCAGCATCATCACGAGTATCACCGTCAGCAGCAGCAGCAGCAGCAGCAGAGCGCCTGTAGCTTACAACTTTGCCCTCGAATAATTACCCAATCTGTTTTTCCTTTGTTACGTATTCATCTGAACTGTCTTGTTGTTGTGTTATCTTTGCCAAGTGATAAAATGCATTAGCATAATAACGGCATCAGCATGCAACTGTGCTGCCAACTTGCATTAATAAGAGGAAAACGCAGAGGCCAGGCCAGGCCATTGATGAGCCTGCAACCTGACTGCCGCAGGGCGTATGACATGCACGGCACATATACCCTACAACAGCACCGCCCCCCACTTCTCACTTTTGTCTGTAGTAGCTGTTTCAGTACGGCACATATATCGTCTATAACTAAAGGCTAAGGCGCTCCACCAGCATCTGTAGAGGCCTTAGGGTTTACGGCCAGCTACTACACCGTCCCTCCCTTCGCTAGGCTCACCCTCCCCGTCAACGTCCCCATCTCCATCCCCATCCCACACTCCTCTCAACAAGTCATCACGTTCGATGTTAGGTTACGAAACATCCATGTACTGACATGTTCCATCACTATACGAAATATGAAGTACAGTGCACTGACACACACACACACATAAAGGGCCCGACAGTCCATCAGTTCACCTGCAGCACAATCCCCATACATAGCTGCGCGTATTGTTTTTGCCTTGCTGCATATACACACTGGATTACACATGGCGCGGGAAAATGCCCTTCTGCAACCTGGAGCAAGGCGTCTGCAAGAGGCCCCCGTTCACACATACACACACAAACACACCCCACACACCACATACACACGCAAACAGAACGCACACGAACGTCACGCCCCCAACACACAGGTCGTCAGGAGGTGTTTCGGTCTTGATGGCCTTGTCCCTCCAGCCACCAGCTATTCTCCAGCCACATCATCAAGTCACCAGACCCCCCCACTGGACCCCTACTCGCTAATCCATCTCTGCCGTGTCCCGCCCCGTAAGCCCTCCCCTCCTCCCCCCCAACCCTCTCGCTCAATAATGCCAACTCCTACCCACTCACCGCCAGCTCCGACATCGTCCTACGACCCGCCAACCCTACACTCTTCCCCTTAGACACAACCCCAAGTCAGCTAACGCGCTCTCAGTCGACTCACAGTCACAACTCAGATAGCGACACAAAGACTCGAAGCTAACGAACTGTAGTAAGCTACATTTCCATGAGCTTAATTTCAACGATTACTGTTAACAACAACTGTAAATTCGTTAACGATTCGACTCGAGTTTCGTACATGTTACGAGTATCGCCACATGCCTCGAACATGGCGGTTGTTCGTAACAAACCTAAGGGACTGGGGCCCCGGGCCCCACCGACATTATCCTAGTACGGCAGGACCGTGGTAGGTAGGCCGAGATGTAAGCTACCCAGGCGGGGTGCTATGGCCAGACACTGAAGTATCACGACTACTTGGTGTTCGGAGTTCAAGACTCCGCTGCCGCCGTCTCAGATTATTTCGTACGCGTCTATGCAGGCTAGTGCTTGTCGCTGGGTTGGACTTCCTCCTGCCTCGGCGAGGACTGCAGTCAACTCTACGCTTCCGCAAAGCCAGTCGACCCGTCAGGTGAGCGACTGCTACACGAACTCACAGTTTTCACCCTTTTGATCTTTTACAACTCTCCGTTCAAGTTTAGTTTTCTCTTCACTGGCCCATCCACACATTGATCAGTGTTAGTCCACGCTGGTAGCTTTGGAAAATGCAAAAGTCTTTTGGGGGGCGCGCTATTTGAAACGTAGGATGTTGGCTGAAGTTCGTGTGCTCCTTGGCCTCTGAACTTCTCGCTTCGTGAGATCCAGTGTCCGTCTTTTTCGGTTGGTTAGAACTATGGCATATTCTGCTGGAGAGCGGCTGCCATGTAGGCTAGTCGTACAGCGCAGGGTTGCGATGTCGTGCGTGTACCTGGGGGGGATGGACGTACGGCATTGGCCGTGTTGAACGCCACAGGACGAAGGAAGGAGGGAAGGGGACAAGATGGGAACCGCCTTGGTACAACTGCACCTGCACCGAAGGGTGGCTAGATTGTAAACGCAGTTTTAAGAAGAATGTAATATTTTCCATGATTTATGATTTAATCATGTTTCCCGCAAACCAGGGGATCGCATCGCGGAGGACGTGAAAACGTTGCCCAGGGGATGTGCGCAGGTGCCGAGAACGTTCAACCATCCAGCGCGTTCCGTCCGCACGCAATACAGAACCAAAGGGGAACACTTTAGTGTTCGTCCCCTTTGGTCGGGGCGGTCGCGCTTTCACGACGATTTTTGTCATGACCGCTGAACTAACTTTCTATCCGAGGATTGCGCCTTTAAATACAGCTGCTTTAACTTTACCTCTGCATATTGCTCACCCTCCCAGTACCCCTGTACTTTTCTTTCACCCCCTCCGCCCCCCCCCCCCAACCTCAACTTTTCTCCCTTCCCCGCATGCTGCTCCTACGCGCCTCCTATGCACCTCCCCCTCTCACCTCCTCTATCGCCGCCACCACTTCTTCGCTGAGCCCCTGCGCGGCCCCGGTTCCAAACGCGCCCAGGTTCTCGGCCAGCTGCTCGGTGCTGGTGGCCCCCACGATGACGGAGGGAATGAAGGGACGGCTCCTGCGCGCGGAGGGAGGGAGGGTGGGCGGATTTACATTGAGGGTTTGGGGGAACATCGGGGGTTAGGTGCACGCGTGAGTAAGCGTGCGTGTGTGCAAGTATGTGTGTGTGCAAGTATGTGTGTGTGCAAGTATGCGTGTGTGCAAGTATGTGTGTGTGCAAGTATGTGTGTGTGCAAGTATGCGTGTGTGCAAGTATGCATGTGTGCAAGTATGTGTGTGTGCAAGTATGTGTGTGTGCAAGTATGTGTGTGTGCAAGTATGCGTGTGTGCAAGTATGTGTGTGTGCAAGTATGTGTGTGTGCAAGTATGCGTGTGTGCAAGTATGTGTGTGTGCAAGTATGCGTGTGTGCAAGTATGCGTGTGTGCAAGTATGTGTGTGTGCAAGTATGTGTGTGTGCAAGTATGCGTGCGTGCAACTATGTGTGTATACGCGCGCGCGCGCGCGTGTGTGTGTGTGTGTGTGTGTGTGTTATGATGAGGGGGATTCCAAATGGTTCAGCGACAGAAATGCAGAGACGGATCATGTAAGCACGTCTCAGCGAACGCTGGCAACGCTACACAACACTACAGTACGCTACACAACATTACAGTACATCACACAACACTACATCACACTACATTACATCACACTACACTACACTACACTACACTACATTACACTACACAAACAGGAAAATCGGAAGGGGAATTTGCTGCAGTAGCACGAGGCAAGGAACTGAAGCTGCAGCAGCAGCAGTTGCTTGCGCGTACAGCATCAGTTTCAGACCCCGAAACAGGCTGGTCAAGGCAGCAGGCCAAGTAACCTCGACGAACCAACACCTGCACAGATCTGGACGCTTCCGATATCTAACCCTCGACAAGTAGCATGTCTTGATACGATACATAGCACGAGGGCACGACACAGCTTTGCAACAGTACGGGGCAACCAAAGTGGACTCCAACGCCGTACTGAAGGCACCTGCAGCGGCTCCGGAGCCTCTGCACGCTAGGTGGCGATGCCCCAGGATCACATATCCGACCAGCCTCACGCATGCACACACACATCCACATCCACACACACACACACACATAGACACACACACACACACATAGACACACACACACACACACATGCACACACAAAATAACCCCACACGCACACGCACAAAACACACACACATACGTCCGGGGACCCCCGGCCCTCCCCCTCACAAACGCACGCTCGTTTACCTGCACCAGGCATACCCTAGCTGAGCAGGCGTAAGGCCCGCCTCCCTGGCTATCCTCACGTACTCGGTCACGGCTGCTGCGACCTGGACGGCGGGAGCCGCGGGGCCGGGGGGGGGCCGCGGGGGGTCGGGGGGAGCCGCGGGGCCCCGGTGGGGAAGGGAAGAGGTGAAGGACAGAACGAACAATTAACTTGTCCATGCCCATGAAACTTGGCCCACCATGAAACACCGGTGCCGAGGTTGGGGGGAAGGGGGAGGGGGGCGACGGAAACCCAGCAGGACAGCAAGACTCGGTTGAACCACCAGAGGGAAAGCGGGTTAGGGTTTTAGGGGCGAAAGGCGGATAAGGCTCCTGGACCTGGAGGGAAGAGAAACCCAGGTGGCGGCGACATCATTGAGGGGGGGAGAGAGAACGACGCGGCGGATGGAACGTTTATTGGAAGAGGCGGAGGGAGTAGGCATTGAAGCGGGGTGGACGGGAAATGGTGACGGGTGGAGGTAACACACACACACACACACACACACCCCATGCAGCCCGGACGTAAGGCCCCCCTGTACTTGAATATGTTGGCCTCATGTCAGCCTCTCTTTTCCTTTCCGCCTTGTCAGGCATTACCATCTCTTCCCTCTCGTAATACACACCCCCGGAAAAAAGAAAAAGGATAAAGTAACTACTTCACAACTAATTACTCAATAACAATTGAAAGCAACTCGGGTGGCACATGTGAAAGCTGCTGCGCAGATCAATCGTAATCAATCGCGGGATTAGCCCTCTGGCGCAAAGGCACGAATCCTGGAGCTGGGAGACCAGGGCGGCGGGAAGCGTCGCGAGGGGCACTTAAACCCACAACAACGCGCACACGCAGCCATCGAACACATCCTTGCATACTTCACACACACACACACATACATACATACATACATACATACATCGCAACTCGCCCTCATTCCTCTCACTTCACACGGCCCAATCTCAACGCCCAATCATACACTACACATACACACTACACATACACACTACACATACATACAACTACCCGTACCTGCCTTCTACCCGTTTCCCTCCTCGCCCCCAAATGAACACATCTTCCCGCCACCCCCAGAGGACCTCAGGAACACAACCCAAGTCAAAACCCACCCGCGGCGTGTTGAAGCGGGCGTAACGCTCGGGGAACAGCGTCAGTCGGCAACCGGCTGGACGAGTGCCGTACGGAAGGTACTTGCCCGTCAGAGCACCGCCTGCCAGGGCGCTCCAGGGGAGGAGCCCCAGGTTCAGGTTGTGGGGGCCGCAAACCTCCGCAAGGTCGCCCTGTGAGTCCCAGGAATCCAGGGAGGGCCGGGGGGGCCGGGGGGGGGGGGAGACGAACCACACACGATTGAAGCTGCTGCCAGGGCAAGAGAGTATCAAACGTAGAACTGACCGGGGGGGCCCGGGGGAGGCCGGGAACGACTGAACAGAGGAAAACAGACCAGGGCGGGGTCCAGGACGAGCCACTGGCGAATGTAGCCGATGTCAGCAACAGGCGGTCCATGGAGGGGCCAGAGAGGAGGTCATATGGACAGAGGTGGTAAAAGTGTGAGGATGAGGAGCTTCAGGGGGTGATGGGGAACAACACGCAAAGCAAGAAAACGACAAAATGTTGACCGGTCGATGCCCGCAAAAAAGCGATTTGGAGGTAGGGAGAGGAAAAAGGGCGGCGAAGGCCGAGGGAGCAACTGGATGCAAAGAGGATCAACTGACGAAAAAAGGAAGCCGAGAAGCCCACAACATGTGTGAAGCATGGCAACAATTCTTTTCGTCTTTAGATGGTTTCGGAGGATAGAACTCGCGGACAGTGGCCACACACGCGGCCTGAACGTAAGAAGCGGCACGTCCCAAATGCTCGTCCAATCTCGTCCAGTCAAGAGACAACATCACAAACCGTCGCTCAGCTCGGTTGCGACGTCATTCATATCTTTCCTTCCGTACTCCCTGTTATTCAGCCGTATCGTGCCGTAACCCCGTACGGTACAAAACACAGTACGACTGTACATTTGCCGGGTAAAACAGCACATTGGCTATTGCTTGCTTGATTGCTACACATCCCCCCAAAAGGCGAATTTGCCAACGACGTCACTTCTTACATCAACAACCTGATACACTGTAAACCCGTAACCCCTGCAACCCCTCATCACACCTCAAAGGTGCGGTGCAAGAGGCTGTAGCTGTTCTGGATGGTGGCGGGGCGGGGCAGACTGGCGGCGTCAGCGGCGGCGCAGTGCCGTACAACGCCCCAGGACGTCTCGTTCGACAGACCCCAGGCCCGGATCTGCGAAGAACTCGGCAACAAAACGTGGGGGGGCCGGGGGGGGAGGGCGATCAGCGCCACCAATAGTCAATGCCGGTCAACAAACATAAGATACGAATCCGTGTGTTTCATGGTTGGGCTGTTGGGGGCTTGAAGTAGGTTAACGGCTGCGCATTTCATACACGTCAGCGCAGCCTGCAGCTATGATGTGGTATGACCGCTGTGTAACAAAAAAAATTATACATCGCGGAGGGGGAGGAGGATGGCAAAAAGGAGGATGAAGCTCGGCATTCGTGTGTTTGTAATGGCCCCCTCCAAGATACACAACATCGAGGCGCCGTCCGGGTATTGTCAGGTACCGCGAGTCGGAGAGTGGTTCGGGCCCCCGCGGACCCACCACCCACCATCGCGGCCGGGGGGTATATGTTCCGCCCTCAACGTGCAAAACACGGGCGCCTACCGCGATGGGGCTTCATGACCGGCATCACGGTACTCCCAAAGGTTCCCTCCTCCTCCCCCCCTCTCTACCACAACCGCACCAAGGGCAAAACACAGGGCGACACACACACACACACACACACACACACACACGGGCGCGCGCGCGCGGCGCAAAACGCGGCTCTGGCACCTCCCTCCGTCAATTCGGAGGTAACGAAACAGAAAAAAGAAAGACCCTCCAAGAAAAACATCCGCCGTCAGGGTTTCGCCCCGGTTGGCTTTTACAACACTTGTGTTCGCCCCCGCCGAACCTTCCGACAAGATGTCATTGCGCCGTGCCTGAAATGTTGCTGGCTATGTTACGCCGCATCTCTCTCTCTCAGCCATTACCTTGCCCTGCCGTAGTAACCGGCCAATCGCCGCCACCAGCTCCTCAAAACTGCTCACGGGGGCGTTAACCCTCTCCGCCGCCTCCAGGTGCTGCTGAGCCGCCTCCGCCCGGTATTGATAACGACCAAAACTGGGCACGTACCTGTTGTATGGTTTTGCGGATGTACGGCAGCGGTTGATGGTTGTCGTACACCATCACCAGGCACGACCGCACATGGGTGAGGGGAAAAAGGGCATAGTGAGGAATGCGGTCAGCAGGACGGCGGGGAGATGCGCATGGGCGTGGGCATGCGGGTCTGATAACTCGCTGGTGGTTGACGTCGTCTTTGGGGGAAACTTTAAATCTTTTAGGGTGCAGATTAACAATTGTACAGCACTGTTCTTTACTAAGAACCAGTGAAGCGCGCCAACGTAAAACTTATAAGCTTCTAGGTGAAAAGGTGCTGAGAAAGCCGACCCTCAAACATAACGAAAAAGAAAATGGAGCGTAAGGATTGTTGGCAAATTTAGTGCAATCAGCTGCGCTCGATTCCGCTTTGAGACTGTTCTAGGACCTGGTAACGGTGCGCGCCAAATCGCGAGCCGCGAACTTTAAAAGGCCCCTGAAACTCCATTTTGCAGGTCCTCTAGAGTCACACCGCCACTGACGACAAAGGCAGGATGCAACTCGACTAGACCTGCTGCTGCTAATGCTGTTCCCGTTGCCACTGCTGCTACTGATTCCGCTGAAGTTGCTGCTCGTACTGCTGCTGCTACTGTTGTTGCTACTACCTTTGCCGGTTTTGCGGCTACTGTTGCTTTTGTAATCTGTTGTTGTTGCTGCAGTCCTTGCGTCTACAAACAACAGGAAACACTCGTCATACAGGTATGTAGACCGAAGCCAGCTAGTTCATTTGTACCCGACTCTGCCACTGCAGCCGACAGATGCGACCAAAGCAGACTGAATGCGGTATACGCTGACTTAAACATCCTCGTAAATATCCTCAATTCAAGCTTTAGAGATTCACTTGCCTGGCAAAATACTTACCTCAGCGGACTTTTCGCCTCAAGGAAAAGCCTCCGAATTATTATTCGCGGAACGAAAACGCCATAGACTAGGCCCGAATTAGTTTGATGAAAGAAGCGGCAAAAGTGTTTAAGCTTCGCTTGCTTTGCGATAGAGCTCTTTGCCCTAATCTTCCACTTTTTTGCCACTTTCACCAGCCGCAGCCCAGCCAGCGCCACCGCCATGCATTCTCCCAGCCGGTAGTTTCATTTTCCAGTTTCTTGCGAAAAAAATCGATCAACCTTTTTTGTTTTTTCCCACCTAAGAAGACCCCAGCAAGTCACCGGCCAGTTTTCTGTGAGTTCTACTTTCCCTTATGCCGGCACCCCATCCTTTCGATGCTCGCCTATCCGGCCAATGCAGCTGCAGCAAGTCGATGTAATCGGTGCGCAGCCGTCTGAGCTCCCCCTCCACGGCAGCCACGATGGACGGACCGTCCAGTCGAGGAGGCGCGGACCGGCCGGGCGGGTCGGTGCGGTTGGCAACTATCCACTCCATTCCCGTCGATCGACCTGAACAACAGATAACGACCGGTCCGACTGTAATCATCATTACCAACAGATTAATCATTATGGCCGCAGAAAACGCTGACGGTAATGGCGATAGATGTAATTTCCCCGGAATAGTATCGTACAGCGCCATCCGCCGACTATGCCGTACCATACGTCCTTCAACCAGTACGGAATCCGGAATTTGAAACCTGCAGAATTCTCGTCCCATTTTGTCGTCCCACCTGCCACCTTGGTCGCTACCACAAAGTCCTCGCGCCGCTGGTGTCGAAGCCAATTCCCAATGAAGGTTGATGTACGGTTGGCGGTTTCGGCGCGCGGCGGAACAGGATAGATCTCGGCCGTGTCCTGTGAGGCGAACGAAACGAAACAAGAACAACAGCAAGAAACCACGCGAATGCTCCATTCATGACCTCACTTAAAAAGTATTGCTCTTCACCTGCTCTCCACCCAAGACGACGTCCGGGCGGCAATTCAAAAAACAAAAACAAAGCAGGAGTGCAAACACGTGCGATGGCGTGTGACACCGGGGTCACAAGGATGCCGTACATTCGCGGGTTTCTTACCCCACGGTTTCTTTAATTCCAACACAGGTTTTTTTACCGCGCATACACCCCGGGGGAGCCCCGACAGATCAATACACACTCAACCGGGACCCTCTTTCATTACCTCCTAATAAGCTCTACATTGCGACATGGTATGGTGTGCAAAAGACAGGAATCAGGCGAAGGTCATGAAAGCAGCAGCAGCAGCAGTGGAAGCAGCAACCAGGGAGGCAGTTTGCATTCCATTGCCCTGGCTGGATTGCCCTCCCTGAATATATATAATTGTGCAGCTCTACTCCCCCCCCTGGCGATAATCTCCCTTAGCTCTGGACCCTTGTCACGGGGTCTCAGGCCCCCGGAAACGCCTTTCCCTGGACTTGTCGAATGTGTGGCGGCGGCGGTGCCGGCTGTAGGGAGGGAAGAGTAACCTACGGTGAAACTTTCCCCCAATATCAATATCATGGGGGGCGGGGAGAAACCGTGGAAAACCCACGGGTACGCCGTGTGTGTGTGTGTTTCGTGCCTACCGGTCCTACAACCTCTGGTGTGACCAGCGGAGCAGCCCATCACATCGCTCTGCCGTACAGTTGCCGTACGGCAACAATATAATATATATACAGATATATACATATACATATATAGGGTTTTATACATATTTTATACATATATATACTATGATACTAATACTATCAACCGCCACACACTCACCAGGAAATTGATGCCGCACTCAGCTGCTAGGTTCAGCTGCGCGTGAGCCTCCGCCTCGGTGTTTTGTTCTCCCCAGGTCTGTACGACATGAAATACACGACAGTCGGCACGGCGGACATCAGTTCATGACAGCATGCAGGCCAGCACCCAGCGACACGGCCCTGCTAACAACCCCGGCTACCGGCACGGAGGCTCCTGGCTCTCGTGTTTCATCCGGCCCAAGGTCCCACAGCGGGTCTCAGGCGGATTAACCGGCTCAAGTGGAAACTAGGAAAACACCACCGGACAGTGTTTTTGGACCCACCATCGTGCCCAGGCAAACCTCGGAGACTCGCAGCTCGGAGGAACCTAACTGCACCATCTGGTGTAAGAGGAGAGGGTGGGGAAGGGTGCGGGTGTATTTGCAAGCTCTCGCTGCTCTCTGCTGGGGCAGAGGGGGATGCATGTCTGCTTTCCAGGCGACAGTTGTTTAGTTCTTTTGCTGAAAAGGTTGAAGAGAGAATCGGGCACATAGATTTTCAGCAGTGCAAAATGACATACATCGTCATGCAATAGTGAAGAGTTTAGGAGGGGAGGTGAAGGACTACTTTTGGAACTGATGAACGGGCCGTGGCATGGCCGTGGGGCTGCAATAAAGCTTTTCAGGGGAAAGAAGGCTGCTTAGTTCTTGATAGCTAGAAACCCCCAGACCCTTCTTGAAGCAGGCACTGCGCATGTCCTAAACCGTAGAGAAGTATGCAGAAAGGTATCAAGAGCAACATTTGAGCAGGGGCCGAGTAGACGCGCGCATCTTAAGGACAGCAAGCCTGGTGGTCGCGGCGTCGGTGCGTACCTTGAGGGTATGCGGCAGGGATGGCGACTTGGTCACGGCGGCGCCGACGGCAGCGGCAGCAAATCGTACACGCCGCTCTGGACGATGAATACTAGAAGGCCAAGAGCCTTGTTGACTCGCTGCCGCTGGGCGAGCCATGGACATCTGAGAGCTTTCAGACACAGGCCTTTGATGCAAAGGCAATTCACGAAGACCGGACAACATGTTAACAAACTTGAGCCTGAAAGGAGCCTTTCAAGTATGTTTTACTTTTATAATAGGCAAGGGTAGTCAGCCGCAAGTTCCGCTAACAAGGTGAACGAGCCAGACACAGACTCGGTCAATAGAGAATTATCTAATAGCATGAGCTAAATATAAAAGCACGTATACTAACGATGCGTAGTCGTCTTTTATTTCCTTGCGCGAGGATTCCCAAGCCCTTAAGCATCGGAGATTCACCATACAGGATGAGCAATGATGAGAAGGAAAATCGATTGAGAATTCCGCAGTTCCATTGTTAGTGCATACGTGCTATGGCCATTACTAATCCGGCTTCGGAGCAGCAGTAATCTTTCTCAGTAATCTTTCTGGACGGTCGCACTGGTACATCCTAAATCAATATGTTTATCTAGGGTCATCCAAGTATTATTCTGAAGTAGCATGGATTGCCGGCCTACGCGGACGGAGAATTAGAGGCAAGCAGGCCCCAGCGGTCTACGACCCCCTTGAGCTACATCGCGCGAAGGGCCCACAGGCTGCGCCAAAATATTAAACTTAATCATTCTTCCGCTCCCTCAAATCTTTCCTCGGTGCGCAACCGTGTGTATTGTCATTAGTACTGCACCATTATTACTGACGAAACTTTCTGCGGGTTGACTTCTGCTGGTTGAATCGTTCTTACATACCGCAAAGTAGTGTATGCAGCTGCCGCACCGTCCCAACTAAGCTTACTCGCTCATGTGCCGAGGATTTTCACCATACACCATGACACTCACAATACCACGGATATCTTATCAAGTGGTGGGAGGTGCGCAGAATGTGCTGCGGGTTGAGGGTCAGTTTATGAAGGGCCCTTGGAGTTCGTGCACGCGCCACAAGGCGTGATGCTTCCAAGCACACATAAGTCACCCGGTGCTTCCTGAGGAACCGACGGGACCTGCGAGAGCGTATCCGTACCCGAAATCGCGCCACAACTATGCACCTAAACGCCAAGCATGCACCTCAAAAGGATTGAGGTGAATTCAATCAACACAGCAGCTGTATAATCTTCGGATGGACATTTCCCAAAATTTGTGCTGGAGAAATTGGAAACCCATTAGCGCCAAGCGCTCAAAATCTACATTATTCATAAGATGCAATATCGCTAGAGATTTCGATGCTAACTCTCTTCTCACATATATTCACCACAGTTTATCATCTGGCAGGAGGGATCCAAAGCTGAGAGAAAACGACCAGACCAAACTGACACAGAATCAAGCCTTCCAGCGCCCTATCCTACCCGTCTGACGTCTACTTTATTACATGGGGAATTTTTGGCATGAGGTCAAAGGAGATGATTCAATTGGAGCTTACCGACCGTACGGAGCTGCAGGGCGCGGTGCTGCAGGGTACCACCATGCCGCACCGCACAGCGTCATAGGCGGTTGGTTTCAGAGCTATTTTACAGATATACACAAACCAAACTCACATGGTTGACGGCCGGACAATTTTTCTACGGAGCCGCGTCGCGTCCTGTAGCCCAGTCCTGGGTCCTCTTCCTTCTGCCAGCCTTTTCCAAAATTACCTTCCTTCCCTGGCCATCCCACGTGCCATGCCCCCAGCCGTCGCGTTCCCGCACATACCCGCACATGCCACCTTTTTTTCCCTCACTCACTTTCCCCTTTGTGAATAAAATTCGTCCCCTCTGGCCCCATTCTAAGCTACTTTCTGTACGATTTTCCACGTGTCATGCAACATTCCGATCTTCTGTTGCCCGGACTCTGCTTCCGTACAGTCCGTTCCTCAGGCCCAGCGCTCAACCATCCGTGTCGATTCGGGCCAACCGACTGTGGCTTGAGGACCCCGATGTGCCGCGTGATGCGTATGACCCGCACAGCATGTTCAGCAAGTACGGCGCACCGGACGACGGCTCCAAAACCACTTGCCATACAAGCGCTGCAGGGTCATCGAAGCGGTGCGTGGGCCGCACTGACCGCAGCTGCCGCCCCAACGGCGGCGGTAGCGAAGGCGTGCTGGGCCCCGCCTCTATGTGGGGCGGCGGCGGCACTGCCATACGCGGCAACTTCAGCGGCAGTGTCCCCTGGGTTACTGCGGGGTGGCGGAGTGGGCAAAGCAGCAATCGAACTGAGCCAGCTGCAGCGACAGCGGGGCCAGAGCGTGGCTCGGTAGGTGCTCACGCACACACCCTCTCCGGCTCTTTCACCCTTTTCTCCCACCCGGGCCGGGATCTCTCCAGGGGATCCGTGTGCATGCATACATACCAAGTACCCCCTGCACTTCCCTCACGTGTTCCCTTCCCGTACCCATTACCCCTTCCAGTTGGTCTCCCGGACCCAGAGCTGGACTGGCTCTGGCTCCGGAACCAGGCAGCAGAGACAGCCCGGGGCGCTGTGGGCGCTGCGGGCCTGTGGCGCCATGCGAACCGGAGCCGCCGCGACGGCTGCAGCCCCTCAGACCCCAGGGCAGACGGGCCCGAGGGCCTGTAAGCGAACGCCAAGTAGCCACGCTGCCACCTGGGGGGATGACCCGTGGGACGGCGCGGTCGGCCGGTCCGTGTCCTGCGGCCCGCTGTGCTCCCGGTGGGTTCTGGTGGGGGAAAGGAGGGGGCGGTAGAGAGGGCTTTGCGGGCAGGGGGATTGCGTGTTATAAGTACGGCAACGAAAGGGACGCGAAGGGGAGGGAGGAGGTGATGGTAATGGTGCGTTTGGGGGGACTGAGTGGGCTACTGCGAGTGGGGGAAAAGAGAGCGGAGAGAGCGGGGTGCTCCGGTAGGGTCGTGTGTGTATTGGCAATAACTGACGTGACAGGAGAACTGGCGTTGGGTAGGGCGAGAACACTGAGCAGGTGTTACCGTAATTACGTATCCGACTGTACACTCGAAGTATGCAGGATGCCCGTGTTCGGGGCGCTGGCTCCGAAACCTCAAGTAGTTTGATACGAATACTTTACACGGGTTCAGGCGAAAATTGGGAGAGGGTGCTTGGGGTTGAAGGATAAGGTGTTGCTCCACCAGCGTCAAGTGTTGGATTGTGCATGCCGGCGATATAGCTACGGCTGACGCAGAGCCGGGGTCCGATCAGGGTTGAGATGGTTGATATCAGAAACTGGAAAGTCAAACTACATTCAAGCAGTCTTGTGTCGTGTTTTATATGGCGCAACGAGGGTGCGCCAGGGTTTCCTGGTGGTAGCGCGGACGAATGTCTGCTTGTCCTTCTGCTGGAAACATGCACCGTCTGATGGATGGCGGGTGCAGGCAGCGAAGCCATTTTGCAGCGCGGTTGATTGCTATCAGGCGGCAAATCAAGTAGCTTACATGATGCCGGGTCAACATGTGTCGCAGGGTGAACGCAGCTCTGGGTAAAAGATTCGTTTGGATATTTCGTCTAACGGTCAGGGACAACGGCTACCGTTTCCAGCACCCCACTTAAAACTTTCGCTCCATAATTCCATATGTGTGTGCGCTGTAGATACAATCATGCCAAGTGTCTGGCACTGGACTCGACGTTTTCATGGAAATGCGTCTGTACGGCGTCCGTCGCTGTTGTGTGAACAAACGTCATGGATGGTGTTATTGCTATGTTAGCTGTACGTTCATGTATAATATCGCTGTGCTGCGTATTTACGCACAGAGGTCTTGACGTAAAATGACGTTTTGAGGAGCAGCCTCCTTTGACTTTGTACATCTTTATACACCTTTGTACATGTTACTTCGATATTACATCGCTCATCATGCATTGGTTGACCATGGCTCTTGCCGAAGTAGGGACATTGTAGCCATCATGCCAACCTTGCTTGCTCGTTGCTACATGTAAGCTTGCGACATCTTGTCATATAACTTTTGTTGAAGGATCATGTCGAGGTAAGTGCGTTGGATGGGGTCTCTTCTGTCCGCACATGCTACCTTACATCCCGGCAGGCTTCACTTGTTCCTGTCCTCCCCGCTATAGCACGTGGCAAGGCTTATCAAGTTGATCCAGTTTTTGCGTACTGTAAACTTAGTTTAATCGCTTTAAATGGTCAAGTTTCCGCAGTTGCATCGCAACGCCCCTGAACGACAGGCGAAGTGCACACAACCAAACAATGCTAGGTATGCACGGCCAGCTAGCATTATGCCACTTCATTCACCGATCCTTTTTGCGAAAAACCTCGCCGCAAGCCCACGTTGCCCCTCTGATGCCCATTGCCCAGCCTCCTCGCAAAACAATCTATCCTATAGCGTCATCCACTTTTCTGACATGCAAGTTCACAAGTAAAGTAAATTCGCCCTTCTTTCCCGGGCGCTTCTGCTTACCCTGCTTGTCCGTCGGACTTTCAAACCGTCAAACAGACGGTCAAATACACCGGCCCCCCACCCCGAAACCCCTACCTCCAATCCCCGTTCATCCCCTCCCCCCCCCCTGTCTCCCTCAGGGCTGGTGCAGGCCGACCTGTGACACTGCGCCCGAACACGCAGTGGTTCAATCCCGATGACTTCGATGAATCAGCGTATGACTCACCATTTGGCGCAAAGCTTGGATCGACTTCCGGCGGCGGCGGGGGGGGCCCCGCTGGTCGCGGGGGCGGCGGCGGCGGCGGCTTTGTGTCCTCGCGCGGCGGCGCCGCCGTCGGCGGCAGGGGCACCGCCGGCAGTCCTGCTACTGCTGGTGCTACTGCCGGTCGAGGCGGCAACGTGGGAGGGAGGGGCGGACCTCTGGTAAGGGTTTGACAGGGTTTTAGGGGTTTTATCTGTCCGGGAATCGTTTGGTATGGCGTGGATTGGACTGTTTTTTTACTGAAAGGTTAGACCCGGACGAGAAGTAGGGTTTTGGGGTTTCGGAGCCATTGGTTATGTGTGGATAGGGTTTGGTTAATGCACAATGACGAACGGCAAATGAAGAACCAAAACGGCGTTTCCTCGGGTTTCAGATGCCATACATTGTGCCATTGTGTCCATGTTGCCATGCCGCCAGGGCGAAGGCAGGGCCTGGCGTTGCTCGGAATCTCCGAAACCAACGCCAGTCCCCCCAGAGCACACATACACACATACACACACGTATATACAACCCCTCTTCTCCCGCCGCCACGCCTTTAAAAATAGGGCCCCGCTCGGTACGACATGTTGGCGAGCTCCGTTGAGTTACCAGCCGGCAGTAGCGGCATGCTGGGTGCCAGTAGCGTCGACATCCTCGGCCGTAGCAGCCTCAACGGCGGCGGCGCCGCAACCGATATCCTCGGCCGTACGAGCATGGGCGGCACCGTCGGGGGCCCGCTGGCGCGGCCGCCGTCCTTTGGCCGCGGGACACTGCCGCCGCCGGGGCCGCTGAAACTCGGCAACGGAAGCGAAGTGATGGAGTTAGAGGCGTCAGAATGGCCTGGCGGCGGCGCCGCCGCCGCCGCAGGTGCCGTACCGCGAAGACCCGGCAGCGGGCGGTTGGCGGGAGCCGGGTCGTTGGCGTTGCCTGGTCCTCCGGGTCCTAAGCTGGCGTCGCTGAAAGGAGCGCCGCCGCCGCCAGCTCAGATACCAGACCGACCGGGAAGCATCACGACCACGCACACACAAACCGATCCCGAAGGTGAACCTCATCGGGGGGGGGAGTGACATGGGGGGGAAGTCATCTGATGTTAATTGTGATGTATTTATGTATGTATGTATGCATGCGTGCATGCGTGATCTTGCATGATATTCCTCAGACCAGGCCGGGGACCCCGACGGTATGGTTTGTTTAGCAGCTGGGGTGTATGTATGTCGTGTTGACTCCGAACATTATTTCACTTTGTTGGCGACCTGAAGCGCATATCTGTCGTTTTATTTCGCCACATTTCCTTGTCGTACCCTGACTGTAACAAACCAGGCCGTACCATTGTCACCAAAACGGTTGTGACTCGAACCCATTCCGGCCGCATCCGTACTGAAGTAACCACCACTACGTCGGGACCAGCACACCTCATAAACGGGTACGGCAGCGGCGGCAGCGGCGGCGTGGGTTCTGTGGACGAGCCGCCGACGCCGTTGTCTCCGGGCGTACGACTGGCCCAGGGATCTGGTCTGCGCGCCGCACGTAGCGGCGGCAGCGCGCAAACATCCCCTACTGCAGCGGCCGCCGCTGCCGCCGCCAACGGTGCGCTGTCATCGCCCCGACGTCCCAGCATTGCGGACGGTGTAAGCGCGCCTGGCGGCGGCGGCGGCGGCGGTGCGGCGCCGCCGTCGCCGATACTGACTCGGCGGCCAAGCCAGACGGGTTTGCTGCCACTACGGCCAGTCAGCGCCGGACGTACGGCACCACTGGCGGCGTCGCTGCCGGGACCGTTGCAGTCTTCCCAAGGAAACGCCGTACAGGCGGCCTTGCGGAATACCTGGGGGGGAGCCGGTGGCGGTGGCAGCGGCGGTGGAATCGCGGGCTCTGCCGCTGCCGCGCCGGCGGCTGGGAGCGCCGTCGCCGCCGCCAGGATGTCCTCTCCAGCTCGTACACCCGTCAGCGCTAGGAATGCTGCCGCTGCCGGCGGCGGCAGCGGCTCTCCTGGCGGCGGGCCGGCAGCAGGCCGACTTCGCATGTCCCCTGCTTTTGCCGCTGCACATGGACTCGGCGGCGGTGGCGGCGGCGGTGGATCGTCTTCCAGTGGACAAATCGACATGTATAACTCAGCTGGCGGCGGCGGCATAGGGCAACGCCCGGCGTCGGGTCGATACGGCAGCGCCGCTGCCGCCGGATCGCTGTCGCCGCCGTCGCCGGCGTCGCCTGAGTATCGCAGTCTCGGGTCCGCGAGCACTCGGCTGCAATCCTTGCCTGGCGGCACCGCCGGCGGCGGCGGCGGGCTCGAGTCATCGGCGCTCCTACGTACGTCAACGGCGTCGCCAGGGCCGTCCGCTAGGCCGAACAGTGCCGTACG